CGGGCGTCTTTAATCGCAAAATATCCACTAATCACGTTCTATCAGTGGTTCAACTTGTTCCTTCTCTTGAAGTGTGGCGTTTGGCCCAGAGAAAATTCAGTTGGCTTGTTTGAAGAATTGGATCACCCAGCATCGGCCGATCTCCTCTTTTTTTTCCAAGCCTGGCCCACCGAAAGAAAGTTGCAGAGAGCCAAATTGAGGGCACCCTCTTGGCTTCGCTTAAGGAGAACCCAACAGCCATAGCCTCTAAGCACTTGGACAAATCAACGGGACTTTAAGGACAGTGAAAAGGCGGTGGCAGGTTGGGACCCAGAGGCGCGAAGACACTCAGGTTCTTTTTTTGGGTGCCAACCAGAAACCCAGAAGAATGGCCGGATGGTGTCAACCCTTTTTGCGGGACCCCCTCCCCCAAAAAAAGAAAGAGCACAAAAACAAAACAACACACAACGTGGTGATGTGCCTTTCAGTGTCCATTTTGTGTCAAACCCACCTCAAAAAAAGACAGACCCATATGAAACACCACTGGTTGAAAGTTGAAAGCAGATCAAGCGGCCAACCAGACCAAGATGCTGTACTGCGACGTAGGCCGATGCTTTGTTCATGCCGTAAGCCTCAAACTCTTCTGTTGAATTCAAAATCTTGGGGATAATCATCTTCTTGAAAAAGTTCTGGTAGGATTGGATCCACTCGTCCAGGTCGACCTTCGGAAGAATGAACTTGGAGTGAGGGTAGGCTTCCATTATCTCCTCCGGGACCATGGTGCATGTGCCTTCTTGAGAGCTGGTTCGAAGGAAAACCAAAGAGAGACCACCCAACTAGGTTCTCCTATTTTTTCACACAATGAGGCTGGGATTGTTTCCTCGGTATAAAGCGGACTTTCAATCTCAAAGATTGTTCAGTCACTCTGAGATCAGGGGCTCCTTAAGACACGCGTCCCCACAACCTGAGACAAAAACCTCTCCCCTTTCAAATGGTACACACATCCCGGAGTAAAAGACGTCGCAGAAACGGGCACCTCCGGTTCTTGATCCATCCTCAAAGGCAGCAACTTCATGCGCCACGCCTCTTGAAAATTAGGATAGGTAGACTCATGGACCATCATTCAGATTCAATGATCGTAAGCCAAAAGACGCCTCTTGTTGAAAGAGCAAAAAGGCTCAAACCTCGGGCATGCTGGGAAAAACCGCTGGTTTCCATTGCTCTCTCCGAGGCCTTTCAGGTCGAAGATCGCCACAAGGACGAAAGGACCAAAGGACCAAAGGCCTTTGCTCTCCTTGTAGAGGAACTGGAAGGGTTCGTCCATGGCAGCGTCCCTGCCTCTCAGAACTTCTAACGCCTCTTCCTTCGTGCCATTCCTCGAAGAAAAAAAGCGCGGCGGGTCCCTTATGCTGTTGCCTTCTTCGGATGTCAAAGAGATTAGCCTGCCCACCTGACCCCATCATTGGATGCCATTTTGGGTCGACCATGTTTAGTGGGGGGCCTACCCAAAACAAACATTTAGAGGCGGTGCCCTGGGAAGGACCCGAGATGCCAGGATAGCCCTGGGCGGTCTGGCAGTACTCGGCGATGCTCCATATGTCTTGGCATCTGAATTCAACATCGGATTTTGATAAATCAAAACCCAACCAAATGGCTAAACCACACCAAACCCCGATGCGCTAGGAATTCGATTCAGATTCACAAGCCCGTCTTTTTCAAGTGCCCCGATGCCGCTTCAAAGCTTGACACGTTTCGCAACATATGCTGAGATGGTTTTGCCACTCTCCAGAACGCCGCTGTCGGAGTTTACCCCCGCCCCCCCCCCCAAAAAAAAAAAAAGAAAAAAAGAAAATACAAGACACTAGTTCAAAACAAACTGCCAATATGTCTGGGTGAATTATGATATTTCACCAGCCTGAAATAAGGTAATTGGGGGGCTATTCCCCACATACACATCATTTAGGGTGAGGCCGTGTGAGGTCGTTATAATTCACTCAGATATGTTTGCCAAGGAATACAATTTCCTTGCATCCCGAGGGTTGCCATTCCATGCGTTAGCGCATGAGTGAGCTATCCAAATCCGCAAGCAGCAAATGCTACTGTTGCTATAAAACTCAAGCTTTACAAGATCATGTGAACCAGAGTCTTGTTTTCTGAAAGTAGCCCCTCAATGCAAACCCCCGATATCTCCCGGCGCTCTCCAAGCCTGAGCAAGAGAAAGCACAGTTTCTCTTGAACTTCCAGTTCCAGTTCTATTGGCCAAAGAGGAAGAGAGAAGGCTGGATGTTTCCGGCCCTTTCGAAATCCTGTTCTCTGGGACTGTGTCGACCTCGAGGAGAGCGGGGGTGATTCAAGATCCAAACACCCAGGGGGGACACGGAGCATGCAAAACCTCACACCTAGGCCCAATTGAAAACTCAGTGTACTTGGGTGCTCGGCCAAGCAAGTAAGTTGCTAACCTTGCAACACACTTGTAAGTCGCCCTCAGTGGAGCTAGATAGAGTAAAAACAAAACTAGGTCCGGTTTTTGTACTAGGTCCGTCCGTGGAGCTAACCCTATAACAAATTGGCTAGAACCCAGGTGGCTAACCACTTACAAACTTGGCCGAACATCCAAGCAGGAAGCGCAGGGCAGGCGTCTCCAAATTATGGGATCTCGAAGTTGGCAGCAAACATTCAGCATCCTAAAGCTGATTGCGTTTCCTCAGGATCCCCTGACGTATGCCAGATGACATTGGAAGAACATCTCCTCACTATTCGTCCTGAGGCCGTCCTTTCCAAAACCTGGAATCCGTAAAAAAATCTTACAAGCATCCTAAGTGCCGAGAAACTCCCGGGCAAGAAAGGCAGCAAGGACAATCATTCATCCATCATCCATGAGCTTGTTTGCCCCAAGCCCTCACAGGAAACAAGGTGTCTTCATTACAGTGGAAAGTCAGTTCTGTAACTCCCACATGCCCAAAAGCCGAAAGCTTGGTTGACGTTGGAAGGGGAGCAAAAGTTTAAACCTTCAGCAGCTAAGTGGTTGGATTTCAACATGTTCCACAATAAGCAAACATGAGAAAATATGGCTCCCAACAACCATGAAGGATTTCCCAACAACAACCATAATATACCCTGCTACTAGATTTTGATCCAGTGAGAACTGAGGTGGAATGCTCTCACGAAGGCTTCCCCAGCCTGCGGGAGATGAAAGCTTCGCCGAGTTTCCCAAAGAGATACTGGCAGGGCGCGTCGCGGGCGGATTCGTTGTAGCCGCTGTGCAGCGGGTTGAAGCCTAGGTCCTGCAGCGCGATGTACCTCGGCCAAGTCTTCCACGCGCCTGTCCATCTTGATGCTAGAGGAATGTATATGATTTATATATATATGTATGTATATATGCATACATATATATATATATATGTATGTATATCCACATATGTATATATATGTATACGTATATCCATATATATATATGTATCCATACATATATATATATATATGTAAATATATATGTATATATATATATATACATATGTATAAATATGTATAATATATATACATATATATATATGTATTTCAGAGGCAGTTGAATTCAACGTGGCATCGGTGCAAGATAGATGCGCCCATGCAAAGCTAACGCATCATGTCCACACCAGGCGCGGCTCCAAGCGGTTGACTTCACACTGTCCGGGAAGTCGGCCAGCCTAGTTTTGGCACAGACCAATGATGTGTATCTATACATGTGTAGCATCATATGCCGGCTGACTTGAAGAGCAATTCAAACTAGAAACTTGTATGCATGTATATATATATACACGTATACACGTATACACATCTATAGCAACAACGGGGACAATATGATTGGGACACGGGATGTGGCGGCGGAGTGGACTTCGTACGCGTTTTTACCCCGACCCCCCCCCCCCCCGAGTCACGAGCGTAGGCGCCTGAAGGTGTGTACGTGTGTGTGTGTGTGCACATACGTATATCTATATATATACATATATGTGTGTGTATATTGTGATTGGTATCATTGATATGATCATTATTGTTAGTGGTACAAATCATCATATTACTGATAATAAAATGAATAAGATATATATATATATTATAATATACATATGTGTGTATGTGTGATATTGGGGAGCCCTAACAATAATAATATTTGTATGTATATATATATATAATATACACCTGTATGAGTATGTGCCGCCCCAGACCCCCGCCCAAATGGTTGTCCGCTTCCCTTTAAACCAACCAAACAGGGCACCCTCAAAACACGCAGGCTAACAAAAACACAAGCAACACACAATGACAAACAAGAGGATAAATAAACAACTAACAAACAAACAAGCAAACAAGCAAACAAAGAAACAAACAAACAAACAAAAAAAACAAACAAGCAAACAAACAAACAACAAATACAAACAGAACACAAAAACAAAAAAATACAAACAAACAGAATAAATGCACGAGCACACACAAATGGGGGTTGTCCTATATTCCTTTGCCCGGGATTGGGCCCTTGGGCCGCACTTGCGCGCGCACAGTGGCGCAGAAACTCGTTTTCGTTGACCTCGGTTTGCGAAGTTTTCGTGTGGATTGCGCGCAAGCTTTTCTAAGCAGTGTGTTCGTCGTTCGCACAGCAACCCACAAAGACTCTTCCCGCTGAGGTCGGTCCCGGAAATTCTAGGCCAGCAACATACCGTTGACCCAACAGAAAGGACAGCAGGCTCTGCCATACAGCTTGGACACAGCCTGAAAGAAGGAAAGTGCATGTTGCGGCTGCCTATCCATTGCTTGAACCGCGCCGCTAAGGACATCCGAGACAGCATGGCTAGATGTCTTGCTGGGGCCTCTCGTGCTTGCGCGCAACTTGCGCGCGGCTTGCGCGTCAGCTTGCGCGGATTTTGTCGTGTCAGCTGCCAGTTGCTGATTGTTGAAGTCATGACCGCAGAAGCTTTGGCTTCGTTTGGCGTCTGACTGAAGAAAACGCCGCACCTTTGCAAACAAGATTGTGACCTACACATGACCCAAGCAACAATCGAAAAGCACAAGTACAGCAAGAAGATATCACCTCCTTTCATGAAGCTAGGCAACATCAGTACATGAAACCCTTCAAAATTGTAACCTTGCGCGTCCCTTGGGCCGCACTTGCGCGCTCCTTGCGCGCGCACAGCTTTTGACAACTTTTGTTTCTCCCCGTTCGGCGATAATTAAAACCGAAGACTGGGGTTTTAGGATGGCCCTCAAATAGTCACACATGCAAACGCATACAGTCACTCACACACACAGAGACACAGAGACACAGTCGCAGACACAGACATATGTGTCTTTTTTGAGGGTGCCATTGTTTGTGGTTTTCAAAAGGAAGCCAATCGGAAAATCACACATTTTTGGGGTCCAACCTCAAAAAGACACACCCATATCAATTTGTCTACAAGGGAGTTCATTTGTTGGCTTCCACGAAATGGTTCCAAGCCCGCCAATCGGGTCTAGGTCGAACGAAATCTATCCCACCCCCTCACTGAACTCAGTTGCCCAAAGCACCCAGAAATACAAAGGTTCACCTTTTAGGGCCACTAGACTGCCATTTGCTTTTTTTGCCCTCTGGGACAAAAACATATTTCCAGTAGTGATAGACCCCCTTGAAGCCAGCAGGGGAAACAAGATTCATTTCAGCAAACGGAAGTAAAGACAGTTGCCAAAAAACCGAGGGGAAACCGGTGTCGGCTCAAAAGGTTCGCTTTTTGGCAGATGAGTTGAAGCTCCCCCAAAACCTAAACCCAAACCATGTGGGGTGTAGCATCTCCACGAGCTGAGCTGGCATCCAGAAGCCGTAAGTGCAACAGGACATTGTGTTTTTTTGAAACAATGAATTAAATCCCCAAGTGAAGGTTTCTATCCAAATCATTCCCAAGCAATTGGACCCAGCAATTCTTCCAAGCAAAGGAACTACAGAGTCAGCTCGACCCGCCGAATGCTCCTTTTGCCCAGGGCCAAACTAAGTCTGGCGCATGGTCTGCGTGCCAGTGCGGGGAGCTCCCACATAGAGCACAAAGTCCACTGGTGCTGTGGCCTGCGTGGAGTTTTTCGCTTGTCCAGCGGGAAACCAGTTGCCACTCGGTACCTTTAAAAGGAACCCCCGAGCTTTTTTCGGCTTTCTTTTCGGCGCCAAAAAATGTTTTTGCACAACTCGGTGATTCTTGCCGGTCCTTTTGAAACTCCAAAACAGGAAGCGTAGCACTTGGACCGTGGGGTCCCGAAAACAAACTCTGGTTGCAACTGGGCCACATTGGTGCGCACCGCGAGTCCTGCAGCATGCCGCCACCAGATGAGAAAGAGAAGGCGCATCATTTCGAGGGTTTTCGAGTTGCGCTGCAGCCGAAACAGCTACCTCCGAGCAGCGCCCACAAATTTGTGTGTGGGGGCTTCTGGGGAGTTGTTCAGAGATTGAAGCTCAAGCGATCTGCCTTGAGAGCTAGGCACTGACACCAGATGTCGCACTCTGCGCATGCCAACTGGCGCGAAAGTCCACATCATGTGGACAAAACCCTTTTCGCACCCGGAGGACAACCTATGAATCATGAGACACTCCATCTATCAACTGATGCGAAGTGGATGTTGCCCATCAACAGCTCTGTGGCAGTCTCGGTGAAGGCAACCCGATTTGGCTCCAGGGGGCCTAGGGCCCAAGAAGGGTCCCTTGAGCCAGTAGGACACAGGGGATCCTCGTGAAAAGGCCCTCAACTCTAAGTTTTTCAGAAAAAGGTAGTTGGCAAATTGGTTGCTGTTGACCCCACTGCAAAAAGTGCTCAAGTTTTTGCGGGCCCGATACGGAAGCCAAGAAGAGTCAACCAAAAAGTCAAGTCCAAAGATCCGTTACCAAATTGCCATAAAGGAAAGAGCAGCGCAACCTGAATTGTTCAGTTGTTTGTCCCCTTCTTCTTTTTTCCGAAACTCATAGCTCGTGCATCACGTGCCGTGAAGACGTCTGCACCAGCGACACGCCCGACTGCTTGTTGAAGACATCCACAAAGGGGAAGGGCTCCCTAGGAGAGCGATTTCAGCAATTCAGAACCATTGGTCGGAACCTAAACGTCAACACCAACAGAAAAAAGACACGCAAGTGCCCAAAACCTACTTCCCGTATTGAGGAAGACTGGTATCTTCTCCAACGGCAAGTGCAGGCAAATGGCTGCAGTTCCAGCGCAAATAGGTGCTACAACACAATACAACCACCAAACTCCTTCGGTCCTACAACACAATGCAAACACCAAACTCCTACAACAAGCACCCACATCTCCAGAAAATGGATACATCGACCAACCCGGAACTTCGTCGTGCGTCAAGGGTCAATTCAGCGGTACCTTGCGCCACCCAAACCTGGAACTGTTGGCTAAAAACGATCACCAACGCATCACGTTAACGTGTCAACAAACTAGTCACAACACACACACACACACACGCCAACAAGTCCATACAAACACACACACACACACAAGCGCCAACACACACACAAACACACACACGGACAAACACACAAACCTATGCAAGCACTCCTGCACCCGCACGCCTGCCCGCATATGCAAACACGCACAAACACAGAAACACACACACACACACACCACACACACACACACACACACACCCACACGCACGCACGCACGCACGCACGCACGCACGCACGCACGCACGCACGCACGCACGCACGCACGCACGCACGCACGCACGCACGCACGCACGCACGCACGCACGCACGCACGCACGCACGCACGCACGCACGCACGCACGCACGCACGCACGCACGCACGCACGCACGCACGCACGCACGCACGCACGCACGCACGCACGCACGCACGCACGCACGCACACGCACGCACGCACGCACGCACGCACGCACGCACGCACGCACGCACGCACGCACGCACGCACCCACCCACCCACCCACCCACCCACCCACGCACGCACGCACGCACCCACGCACGCACCCACACGCACGCACGCACGCACGCACGCACGCACCCACACACACACACACACACACACACACACACACACAAACAGACCCTGCACCCGCACACACACACACAGACAAACAAACAACTGCAAACAGCGCAGCGCCAACGTGCATGCCTATGTGCAAACATACGGCCTGTGTGGGTGCAAGCACAGGCACCCATGCAGCACTTGCACGCACGCATAGAAGTCTGTGCACGCTGGAAAAAATGGGCCCACGAGTACCTGGTGTTTCACTAGGTGTTTCCCCCCGGGACCCTCTACCCGGACCCCCAGCAAACATGTTTGTTCGGAAAGACGACATGTGGCACTGCTTCGGGTCGATGAAGGAGACCTTCCAAAAATAAGCCCAGCCCTGGAATCCTCCCTGAAAGCAGCAACCCAAAGCACCCCTTTTCACAGGGCAGAACCCCATCCAGACGCTTCGAGTCTTCGAGTCTTCGAGCTGGGGGAAGAAACAGGGCACCACTGGAGGTCCGGGTCTGGAAGGCCTTGTTTTTCCAGGGTCAAAGGTAGGTCCTGCAGTAGAGAGGTTAGCAAAAGGGTACCAACTTTTTTGTTTTTTTCTTCGGTAGTCTATTTTAGTAGGGGAACCCTCTCCCAAAAAAAGGGTAACAGGACACTACTGGGGGACCGAGTAGTGCTTGGACACAACGAAACCACCGATGGACAGTTGGCAACCCGCGATGCGCCAAAGCAAGTCCTCCGTGTGAATGGAGTTGGCTTTGGGCCTCGCAAGCCGCTTTTTGCTCGGGAGGAGGTCCTTTTTTGCCGGGGGGAGTGGGGGCTTAGATACCATGGTCCAGGCCGAAAGTGAAACCCCTTGATGGGCCCCCAGCTTTTTCACTCAGAAGTGGCTGGTCAAAACTTGGCCCCGCTTTGGGGTCAAGCCCCAAGAAATTCCCGTATGCTTCCCCTGGTCCCCAGTGAGTTGGATCCAACTGGGTTTCTCTTGCGGCGTGTCAGCTTCAGCAACCGTCTTTCAAAGTTCCATCCCCTCAATGCATTGATTGCCCAATGTCAAACAGGAATTGCCTGGCAGCATACCCGCCGAACGAATTGGTGGGTAATGTCCGGCGGGTAATGTCCGGCGGCACCCGGGCCCGATAATTTTCCAGCAGACCCTTAGAAACAGGCTCGCAGTCAGCAAAGGAGCACTCGCTCGTCCTTTCGGTCAAGGTCCTCAAACACACAAATGGTTCGCAACCTTTACGTGGGTATGTCTGCAGTACAGGACTCCAAAAGGTGCTTGTTGAATTTCCTTTAGACGCTCAATCTTGGGGGAAACAGATTCGCTTATCACGGGCTTTTGTTCACACTGACTTTCAGGATCATGTTGGAGTCGGAAGACAGGTGAGTGGATGACTCAGCAACAGGCCAACACCGCTAGTAGCCAAGAACAAATCCACAGGGAGTCTATACATTTTAGAATCAAGGACAAACAATCTGAGAAAAGGTACCCACCCTGCTGCCTAAATAAAGCTAACTAACCTGGGCTGCCCCCAGATCCCCCGCTAAAAGTTTATCTTTTAGTGGGTTAAATGGAAACTACCACTAAACACTAAAAGGCTAAAAAGCTAAGAGGATGGCTGGGAGCCACCAAGTAACTACGGCATACGCAAAATCTGATCGGCTTCTGTGCCCAGAGCTACTTCGCAACTTGTGCGGTTGTATGCAGCAAGGGGCAACAACAAGCAAGGGGCTGATGGCAACTCTGGACAAATGGGCCCACAGCAATCAAGCTCACACCCACTTTACCAAGTCCTCATGAGTGGACTCAACTCAAGATGTAGTGGACAATGGACCTGATAGAGGTCCCTAGAACCAAACGCGTCCGTTTCCATCAGCCAGGTTCAACAGCGTCGCCACCAGGCTGCCAATTTAGGCTGATGGTTCAACAGGGTCGCCATCGGGCTGCCAATTTAATGATCACAACCCAATCGGGTCTCCTCAAGAGAACCAAAGAAGGTTGTTCAAAGACGCATTTGGCGTGTCGTTTTGGAGGGTACCCTTTTCCGAAAGGGCAACCAAAAACAAAAACCTGTTTGGGGTCCCCTAAAACGTCAAGCCTTTTTCAGCAAAAACTGGCACAACCCAGGAGGCGCCACCAAAAGAGATGCACTGAACGTCCGGCCGATTGGCATGTTCCATGCGGATCCGGGAAGTCGCTCAGAGACTTCTTCGTGCTTTGATAATCCAATGCTTCAACATGTAGAGCAATTTTGACGCGTACCCATATCAACTATCACCTCAAAACTAGCACACACCCACGCCTGATTGTTAGACAGCACTTCGGGCATTCAAGTTTCCGCAACTCGCCTGGCAGAAACAGCTTTTTGTGAAGACCACAGCTTTTCTTGTGCCGCCTTTTGGTGCAGCTACGAGGGCAACCAAAAGAAAACCGTTCTTGACATTCTTCCCGCCGCTTGCTGAAAAAGCAATGTGTTGTGTCGGTTGCTCCAAAAAGAACCTTTTCCTTCTGAAAGTGGTGCTTCCGGTCGGCAAATGCCGCTTTTTGGTCGGGGAATGTCGCCTTTGGGTCGGGCAAAGTCGCCTTTTCGGCTTCATCCCGGTTTCGCAAACAGTAAACTTTGCCAAAATGCACTGAGGCAAAACCATGTGTCGTTTGCACCAAAAGGAGCCTTTGGCCCAATCAGCACAAAAAATGCACACTTAGGAGGGCCCAGGTATTTCCCCCCCAAAAGAAAACGGTTCTTGACACTCTTCAAAATATTTCCCCTAAAGATCCCTCGAGAGCCAACTCACCTTCCCTTGCCCCAGGTGATAGAACTGCTTCAATGCACGGATCTCTGTTTTCGGCAAAATGCAAGCATTTCAACCGCTCCAAACCCGGAAACCGAACATTGCCCAGCAACGCACACTCATTCTGACCGGGCAAGTTCGCTTCTGTTTTCTCCCGGCCAAAAGTGGCGAGGCCTGGTTTGGCTCCAGGTTTTTGGCCTCCGAACTTGGAGCAAACCGCAGCAAACCGCACCAAACCGGAGCCTCGGCCGTGCTCTTCGGACCGGGACCCCGGGCTTCTCGACGCTCACCGCCGCAGGCGTGGTCACGGCAGTGGACACGGCAGAGCCAGCCTGAGGAAGGTGATGTGGGATGAGATGGGATGGCTGGATATGACTGCAGATGTGTCTTGATGAACATGGCAACTCCTGGGTTTCTCAAAAAAAAAAAAGGAGAACTCTTTGCAGGGCTCATAGTTTCCGAAATTCGAGTGGCCCTTGTTTCACGGAATGCCAGTCCTGGGGGTACAGGGGGCTAGATGGCGAGGGTTCCTTGGGTTCCTTCATGGGTTCCTTCATGGGTTCCTAGGGTTCCTTAGTGAGTCTTCGGGAACCCCCCACCCCTTGCCCCCACCCCCTGTCGGAACGAATGATGCTCCGAACAGCGTTCCTCTTGGCTTTCCCATTTCAAGGTTTACACAAATTATCTGGGTGAATTATAATTTTTCACCAACCTGAAATAAGATGGTTGGGGGGCTATTCCCCAAATAAACCACCATTTGGGGTGAGGTCGTGTGAGGTCGTTTTAATTCACCCAGAAATTATGCCTACTGGATGTGAACTACCATCAAAAGGCCAGGCTTCCTCGGGGAACACCCCCATCCCTGACACAGTTTGGTCCCTTTGATTCATTGTTCAGGGAATCCGAATCAAAACAAAAAAGGAAAGAGGGAGTCCCTCTTGGGAGTGTTTTCGGCGAATTCGGCGAAGGCAAGCGCAAACCAACAGCTGCTCGCAGCCGTTGAACCTGGCATTCTCCAGGGGTCGAACCAAAATCCATCGTAAACAATCAAAAGGATATCCGCACCCATTCGCGAACACGTTGTCTCCAATGGCCGGTCAGGCAAGCTCCGAAGGCCACAAAGAAGGCAACAAGGGCTAAACAGTATCAAACCATAGCAGCATGCAAGCACTAAACTCAACAAGTACTAAGACAATATCTATAAAACAAATCATGCACTACAGGGGCACCAAAGAAGGGAATATTCATTTCAATCCACGAAACAATCCGAAAGGGTTTGCAGAGCAAAAGGCGAAGCTGATCTTTCGCTCCGAAGCCAAACAAACTGTCAGGGCGGTGACTGCCCAGAACAAACACCAAACCAAACACACAAAAAATGCTAAATTGACATAGAGCAGAAACATCACAATAGAAGTGACGAGAAACTCCGAATCAGGCCATGGACATGCACAACACCACTCCTCCCACCTCTGCTTTCCCCCTTAAAACCAACCAAACCAACCAAAAGAGGGGACGAGGGGGTGACTTAAACGGGAGACACACCCGTATGGCAATGGCAACTGTTGGGCCCTTTTGACATTCCAGGGGCCTCAAGACCCCCAACCCCACCCCCCCCTTGCTGTCCGGAGTCACCTCGCGCTCCTTTGACTCGCCCACCTTGGACAAAAGGAGCTCTTCAACACAAGGATCCCTTGGTACGCTAAACCAACCACAAAGCATGGAATTTACAGGATTTCCCTTGTTCCCTACTTGCAATATTTAGGGCATCCACAGTATCTCATGGTCTTGGCGTAACGGATCTCAGTTTTCTCCGAAGGTACTGTAGCACTTGGAACCCGTTTAACTCTGGAAGAGTTTGGCCGATTGGAGAGAAACTCAAGGTCGTGCTGGCAAAGCTCATCTTTGGGTTGGGCCAGTTGTTCTCCAGCTGGAAATTTGGGATTTGGTCGATCGGCCCGAAACATCGGCGATCTCTGGTTGGGGTTCAGCTTTCGAGGCTGCCGAGGGTTTGACAGCAATCTGCCGACAGAACAGCATGAAGAAACTGGATGCCCTCCCACCAATCAACATGGAACCTGATAAGGACCTGGTCCCTTAAAATGGAACATGGTCCAAACCAGGACCCCCCGGACGTCAGGTTCCATGTGAATTGGCGGGAGGGTAACTGGGCCTGAAGTTCATGGCAAAAACATCCCTGAAGCTTGCACTGTTCCCATGAGCACACATACTTCTGCACTTTTCTTTGCTTCATGCGCAGCTAGGAACTGAGCAGCGGCACAACCACATATCGCCTGTTTCCCGAAGAACAGGGGAACGTGATTTTGCGCTTCATTCATCCTGGCCCCGGATTGGTCCACCTTTCCTATTGGCCTTCAAGGCATCTCACATTTATCCCTCATATCCTGCCACCAACTAACCTGGAAGTGCACAAACCCCTTGTCCCAGAAAAAAAAGAAAGAAGTAGTCTTTCTACAGGGGTCTGTGCACAAACCCATGTTCGGCGGGTAATTAGACCCGATGCAGCGGACATCAACTCCTTTCCAACTCTGCCCGAAAGGCGAGCGTTGGCCCGGTGAAATGCGAGCGGCTCTTGTGGCCTACGCATAGGGCCAGGCGAGCCCAGCAGTGTCGAGTCTCGTGTGCACGGAATCAATGGCCTGATTGGGAAGAATTCACCAACCTGAAATGGGCGTTGCTGTTTTAGAGGACCCCCCAAAATGGCCGGTTTCCTTTGGTTTCCTCTTCAAACCAACCAAGAGAGGGCTCCAAAAAAAGACACCACACAAATAGGGGGCCCACAGAAAAGGGACCTTCGTGGGGTCACAAACCTTTGTGAGGTTACCATAATTCCTCAGAATAGCTTGGGTTGAGGAGTGGCCCAATGAAAAACCCAGCAGAGCTGGCCAGGCGTATCCTGCATAATTAGAACCGTTCTCGGACGTCTAAGCAGATGATCAGCTTGCGGACTATTGAGGCTAGCATGTCTGTGGCTTCAAAGTGATGTGTTAAAAAACAAAGCAGTAAAAGCAGCGACCGAAACCGCGAGAACCTTCCCTCACGAGCCTCGCAACTGGCGAAACGTAAGCGGTGAGACATGATGGCCCGTCACAATCAAAGCCCGGTACCCGACGTCATGTAAAGATTGCTGGGGCCCCCTAATTTTTCTGGGTCCTCCAGTTTTGGAGGTTAGAATATATGTTGGTACCCGATTTTTTTGCTGTAGTCTTTTTTAGTAGGGGAACCCTCCCCAAAAACAGAGACGGTAAAAGGGCACTAAGCTGGGGGGCCTAGTTCCCGTCCATAACTTCCCCGTGCTTGGTTTTGACAAGCCCATAGAAAGGCAGCAGTTATAGAGCGTTCGATTGGTTGATACACCGTTCGTTATATATGGGCGTGTCCTTTTCTCAGGGTCGTTCCACTTTTGGCGGCTTTCATGGGACGCCTCAAGGAAAAGCAACCCATTTTAGGGGGTCGCATATTTAAAGACGCACCATGTAACATGATTCCGAGAGCTCTGCCGAGCTGTCTGCCTCACACCATCCGAAAACCCGGCACCTCCGTGTAGCTATAGGGGACCTGAGCCGATGCGAAGGCTTCGAAAGCAACACTCCAGATCCATCCACCGCATGTCCGCGCCCTCCCACCAATTAGTATGGAATTTGACACCAACCCGGTCCCTGTAAGGGGGAAATGGCCCTCCAGGACCAACCGAACGTCAGGGTCCATGTTAATTGGCGGGAGGGTATACAGAGCGATCTTTGTTAGACCTCACTAACATGTTGAGTGACTGAGGGAGTAGAACGCCTAATTGAGTTGGACCGAGAGCCAGTGGGACGCTCAATTGAGTTGGTTTGGCTTTGAGATATGTTACCCTGGCAACATGTGGAGTACCAGACGCCTCACATTTCCTAATATTGTTATTATTTCTGGTCTTCCGGCGCATGACAGGCTCTCAGTTCGCTGGTTTGGAATCGCCCTGCTAAAGAATGACAGTTTTTTGGGGGCTGATCGAAGTCAGCAACTGTTTCTTCCCCTTTATATCACCACTTGGGGGGGTGACTTTGATCATGGTAAGACCAGATGTTGGATGGCTTCCTTTTTCAGTGATGGAAAGGACCCGCATTGAAGCAACCGGCACCTTCGCTGGGGACAAGGATCCCATGTCTAGCAAGGGCTTCCGGATGCGCGAACCGGTCTCACTCCGGTTTCAAGTTCCCTAGGTCCTCCAGTTTTGAGAGGTTAGAATAAGGCTACCATTGAAAAACAAAAAAAGTCGGCTTTGTCTATTTTACTGGGGGAACCCTCCGCCAAAAGAGGGTGAGAAAGGGCACCTAGCTGGGGGACCTAGAGACTCTGAGTGAAGGCATTGTGAATTCAACATCAATCGCTTCTCGACACTCCTGGTGCTCAAAAAGCCAAAAATAACATCTGGGTGTGTCTTTTTTCAGGTTGGACCCCCAGAATGGTGGGTCCAACCATGAGTTTCCAGAGAAAAACAAAAAACTACGAAACAACTACCAAAAAAACTGGGTACCCGTACCCCCACAAAAGACGCACCCAGCAATTGAGCAATCTGCGGCGAATTCTCCTCATCCTTAATATGATTGCTCTTCCTGGGCAAAAGGTCTAGCCATCTATGTTTTTGTAGAACACTCCAAACAGGTCCAAGGGCCCAAGGTCACGCCAAAGACTAGGCATTCTGAGTCTCCCGCCTTCCGACCCTTTGTGTGCGGGTGCAGGCTCTGCTGCACGTCGTCGTAGGTCTGAAAAATGTACTCCTTCACGGGATACAAGACCTGAGCCGGGCTGGCGCAAGGTGTGCGCCCTTCCCTTGGGCAAAATTCAACCCGCTGTTTAAACCGGGGCGATACAAACACCTAGTGTTCCGACAGCCTGTTGGAGCATGACTTGCCCCATCCCTGTGCTTGGTGGTATACGGTTGGTGGGGTAAGCGTTGGTGTTGGTGGCTATGATGATGGTGTCAGCATCTGCCATTGGTGTTGATAGCGCACGCAGAGCATCAACCTGACAGGGGGTCCCTTCAAGATACTCTTCCAAGTAACCTCACACAGCTGCTATGTTTGCGGCACGAAGGGCACCTTGTCGTGAAAGCCGTTGGTGACTAGACATGAAGGCTTCGCTCGGGAAGGTTGACAGCCCCTTAAGCAGACTCTCGCTGCACCCGGACTACCCGTTTGCGTTTGGTAAGTGTCAACTTGCGATCGGATGCCAGCACCCCGGCTGAACCTATGCTTGAGTAAGGGCTTCCCTTTCTGCTTGCCCTAAGCATCATTGGACCCTCCGCTGGCGGGGTCTAACTCTGCGGCAATAGGTGTTGGACCTCAAAAATGGCCTTCTTATTGCGGTCCCAATGTGAAAACAACGAAATGTTAGTGCGGGCCAGTACAAAGAGCAGCTTCATTAAAACGTAACACGACAAATGGCCTGCTGTGGGGCGTAGCGTTGACTCAACTGATCGCAAGGTCTAAACCCCAAAATAGCTGTTTGTTGCTTGGGTAAACTTCTGACACCCCGGATGGGTGTCCACTATGCAGTGAAAACTGAAAAAAAAAACTCCCCACCAAAGAGTATATCTGGGTGTTAAATAAAGGATAAAGGAAAAAACAAACAAACACGCACCTATCCCCATGAGGTTTCCCGTTGGGAAGATTAACAGATATGGATTGTCGAGCCCCCAAATATGGCAAACATGCCTCCAGGCCAGGTTGGAACGCAAAGCCAGCATTAATAAAAAGGCGAGCTACTTAAGTCGTCCGTTGGTCACCTACTCCATAGGGTCTGAATCTGAACTGATCCACAAACTGTGGGCATTGCATTCAGACGTATATCCATTGAAGGTACTCCAACCATCAACATTCATGGCCATACGTCTCTGATCGCGTGGCAAATTATTGAAGCTATCACTCGCGCCGCGACCAAGACCTATTGACTTTTGGTTCCACTAAAATGGTGATAGAGGATATTTTATAAGCCGTTACTACAGTCAGGTACCACCCACCTAAAATGGCCCACTATGGCGGGTTCTGGGGGTTCACTTCTCCCTTTTCCTCTATGCCCAAAAGCTGAACGGCTAGGGGAACCCCAAGAATGATGATGTTCTTCATGATCTCCTGCAGGTTTTCGTTGAAAACCCACCAAAAAGGGGTTCCCTGAAAAAAGACTCACCCAAATGACCATTTGAGTTATGCTGTGGATTATTCCATCCTTAGGGCTTAGGGCCAACAGCCGGCCAGGGTTTGTTGATAGCAAGTTTCTACGCCTGGATTGGGATTTGCCCGAAAGTGGTCCTCAAGCTGACCAGTTTGCAATAAAAGTCACAGGGCCCACTTGCTGGCTTTTCCTATCGCAGGTTTCACACGAACATGGGATGAAAGCTAGGGAGTCCGGCAAACACCAACAACAAGAGTGAACATGTCCATCTACTTCTCTACTTGTGGTTGCATTTCTGGCACTTGCACATAGCTTATTCAGGACCCAGCTCAAAATCAGCTGCGTGGGGTCTTTGAACCATCTGCAAAAGGTCGGACGTTTACTGCTTAGTGGAGAACATTGCTTCTCCAAGAAGCTTAAAGGTCAAGCCAACACGTGAAGCAAACTTGTTTGTCAAAAGGGGAACACAGGTTTTCCAGCCCAAGGCCGGGGTGCACTTTGGTTCCTAAATGCTATCCTTAGTGAGACACCACAACAAGGAAACCCCTCGACCATCTGGCAGGCTTCAGGGTTGAACAACTACTGA